ACTCATGGAGGTGGTTCAAGCTAAGGATGGGAGAGCAGGCTTGTGAGACATCCCTGACACCCTTTAGCTGCAAGGAGCCACCAAGTCTGCGCCTTGATGCTCCGGACATACTGGATCCTCCAGAGACTCCTATGGAAGCACGTGCATAAAACCACAAAATGCAGAATTCAACAGCTTGCCAACACATGCCTCCATCTGCAAAAGTCTAACAGAAATCCTACAGGGACCAAAGCCTCTTCCCTCTCCTTACCTTGCTTTACCTTGACTATTTTTCCACCCATCAACTTAATTTCATGGGAGTGCTCAACTCTTCTCATCACGCACAGAGAAAAACCACTTCCACTGCTCCCATCACACCGTCTCCAATGGCCTCAAATCCTGCAATCACTCACGCTGCCCAACATGAGGCTGTGAAAGCCAAAGGCAGCCCTAATGCCTCAGGGAATTCTTATTAGTGTCCAAAAAGGACTTTGCTTTCTGCTGATGAGCAAGCTGCATCCCTCGCCGGGCTCCTGCACCTTCAGCATTCAAGTTGCTGCATCCTCCCGTTGCCCTGCAGTGGTGCCAAAGATCCCACGGAGCAACAGAGGACATTTGGAGCCTCGTGGGCTGTCCCCTTGCCCCTGTTATCAGGAGAAATCACAGCAGCGGAGCTCCAGGCAGGCGGGCACAGGGGCAGTCACTCCAGTCACCAGCACATCATTTCCCTCTGCCAAGGTCGGCTGGCTCCGCTGCTTCCCCATCCCAGAGCCTGTTTTCATTGCTGCTTATCTCAAATTTGGAAATCCACAGGAACTGTTGTTTGAATCCAACCCTCGTGGGGATTGTTTTCATGGGGGGACTTTGCATTTAGTCGCTGCTTTGTTTTCAAGCTGTCTGCTTGCAGTGGGAGTTTGCTGGAACCAAAACTGGAGAAAAGCTCTTGGAATTCACCCAGGGAACAAAAGGGCTCTTGTGCAGGAGGATTTGGAGGACTCGGCTGCTTCCATTGCTGCTACCTTCATCTCTATTCCTCCCTGCCAAAAGTTACCTGCAGTGGTGCTGGAGGTGGGATGCTGCCTGTGCAGCGGGATGGACAGGTAGGAGGGCAGACACCTTCACAGGGAGAAGGATCAAGGGCTTCCCAAATGTTCATGCATAGTGGTGTGCAAGGCTTATCACAGCCTTTCAGCCAAGCCTTGTGCTCCCTGCCCTGGCTTTGCCCCTTGCATAGGGTGGGCTCTGCTCCTCAGTGCATGCAGCAGCACCATTATACATCTCCCAAGGGTGCCATGCTGGTGGGTGCTTCCATGGGGTGATGCAGCCCTGTGGATAAGGGCATGAAGCTCCAGCAACCGATGTGTGAGCAGGGATGCTGCTGAGCATCACTCCCGGTACTCCATTTGCTTTGGTTTACTTCCCCTTATCCAGCAAGATTCCACCTCAAAACACCAGTGAGTGACCACACGCAGCTACAGGGCGCTGAGCAACTTCCCATACAAATACCTAGCAGTTAGCAGCAAATCTCCTCTACCCAGCATAAAAGCAGGGGCCCTGCCTGCAGGATTTGCCTTAAATCCACAAGCCTAGCTAGAAACACTTCTACACTTCCTAAACGCACTGCTCCCTGGAAAACATGACACAGTGAAGAAGCATCCACCCCTCCCCAGTGCTCTGCAGAGCCTCAAAACCCAGCTTTCTTAGGGCAGTAAGATCCCCTCTCCATCAGACACCCTGTGGATGCCTTTTTTGCTCAAGGTCTCCCTCCAGTTTCTATTTTGCTTTAACGTGGTCAGGATTTTCCCCCAGCAGATTCCTGCGAGGTGCTTTTAAAGAAGCATCACAGAGCTTCACTCCCCCTAATAAACCAGATCAGCTTCTGCATCTGCTCCCACGCCGAGGGGTGACAGGTCCATGCATCCAGCAAAGCGGGCGAGAGGCAGCTCCAGCCCCGTGCATCCCGAGCCAGGGCCTCTTGGAGCTGTCAGATGTGCTGCCAGCCTGGAGAAATGCAAATTGCTTTGGAAAAGGAAGGTGACATTCCCACCCGCGTGCTGACTGCTGCTGCGCTGCACGCTCAGATCCCGGCCTGTGGCTCCAGCTATGAAGGTGCTTATGTCTTGATGGTACTTACACTTAAGCACGTGCTTACTGTGAGCACAGGTTCCTATTAAGGCTGTATCAAGCGGCAGGCTGAGCAGGAAGCTGTGCAGCAAGGCTGTGCCCAGTCTGTTGTCTTAGCCTTTGCAATAGCTGCAGGCTTCAGCCATACCCACCAAAAGGGACAATCTGCACACAGGCACTGGTGGATGTCCCTCTGTAATTGGTGGTGTCCCCTCATCATCAGCCTCCCAAGATGCTGACCCATAGCATCCACTTGCAAAGCTCCATAGAATCATAGAATCAACAAGGTTAGAAAAGACCTTTAAGACCATCAAGTCCAACCATTACCCCAGCACTGCCAAGTCCACCACTAACCCATGTCACGGGCCTTACACACGTGGTTTGTGAACACTTCCCAGTGCTGAGGCTCATTCACAATGAGTCAGGAGGCTTAAACATAGGAAAAGCAGGACCTTCCCAGACCAGAGGGTGTGATGGGGCAGGAAGGACTCCCTTGAGGAGCTCAGCAAAGCATCCCCGGGAAGAGATGCAGTTACTTGTCCTTAGCTCTGAACCACTGATCCCCACGTGCTAATGCAGCCCCACTTCTCTGCAGAAAAACTTTTGCTCGCTGAGCAGGATCGCACCCAGTGCCTGTCTTGGTGTCATCACCCTCACAGCAGGACAGAATAAAATCTAATCAATACCACGGGGCAATCTGAGGTCTTGTTTCTGTGCTCCAGGCAGCTGCAGGAGGCTCATTTTACCCAGCACAGATTTAATTTGCTCAGCATATTGTAAATGTTGGACATTTAAACTCCATCGTTATCAGCCATCTACAACTGCTGATGCACTGCACGTAAAGCTTGGGTTTATAATTTTCTGCTCATCAATAAAGCCACCTTAGGACAAAATGAGCAATTTATGTTCCGCAGAGAGAAAACTGACCATTGATTTGGTCATTTTGCAGTTATACAGTATCAATAACTTTTACAGCCAAACGGGAACAGAGGAATGTGCCACAAGCCATTGCTTTAGCAAATATCCTCACCCTCTGCAGAAGGTCCCTGATGGGGACTCTGAGGGCTACATCAATCCCCATGGTTTGGCATCCACTGTGCTCCTATGGGGAAAACAGCACCTCTGGGCTATAAACAGTGTCAGAGTTGTATGAGACACCTCCAGACTGAATTGCTGCTCTCCAGTCCCCAAGTTGTGCTGTTCTTTGGCAGCTGGCAACTGCTTGTTTCAACTGAAAGTGTCCAACAGAGGTTAATTTTAGGACCACTTTCCTCTTCAGAGGTGTAAATAACACTCAGAAGGATTTCAAATCAACGCCTCATCTCTTCCCAGCGATATGATGCTCACGCTCCGTCCTTTGCCCTTTTAATTCCCTGCCTGCATTAGAAGAACACCACAGCACTGGCATGGAAGGGGAAGACCTCTTCCTTGCTTAACACCTTGTCATGGGGCATTTTGGTAAAGGTTCAGCCAAATACTGCGACTGAGTTTTCAACACAGTCAGGACTTTGCCCAATCTGCCTTTGTGCTACCCCGTCAGACAGCTCCCTTGTTTTGATAGAAGAGCTTATTTTTGCGCCTGCATTGTTAAAAATGGCATTTTGACAGCTCTGGCCAGTGTAGATGGGAGGAACTAACTCCTGCTCCCTCTGCTGGCAATGCCTCACCTAAAATGTGTAGGTCCTACTTTAAAAACACACAGGGAATCTATCCACAGCGAGAAGCCAAAGGCAACTGCAGGGAAACCAAAGCCAGGTCCCCAGCACTGAAGCAAGGCAGGAGGCTCCAATGGAACAACCACCCTCCCGTTTGCACTGTCAGCAACAACAGCAGCAGCTCCAAGATACCCCCAGCAGCAAGAGCTGGAGCTGCTCCATCACCACTACAGCAGCAGCAAGTCCATCTGACCACGAACATCAAGTCTTGGTCCTGCAACCACTTCAGGTTCTATCTTTGCACTAAAAGAAGGCTCAAAGCCTTGCACGCAGGGTGCTGAGCAGCTCATGGGGGTCCAAGGGAAGCTCGCTCAAGTTCAAAGAGCTTTTAGCCACAGGTCAGAGAGCATGAATTACAGCTCTCCTTCCAGACACCTGCCAGGAGCATACAATCGCTTGTATGCCATGCAATAAAGCAATGAGGCTGTGAAGGAAATCAGCCTTTCCTCAGTTTTTATCATGCAATTTTATAGTAGTTTGGAAAACACATTGAATAAACGCATTATGGTGCAGTGCTGGGGCAGAAAACAAGTTTTACCCCATAAAGTGTCCCTTACACAACCGGACACCTATGTTTTCTATCCGCACGTGTCCACGTGGATCAAACCCCATCAGGTTACACCTCTCCACCCAGCCTTCTAAATCAGGAGCTGTACATACAAAACCCCCTTTATAAGCCTTTCTGTCAAAGCCTCCATAGAACTCCCTGTGCGAGGTTCAGGACTGTAGTGTCAGTTATACACACACACACACGCTCACAAATCCAGAGCTGCTTTCCGAGTTGCAAGAACAGATAAGCAGAAACGGGATCAAAAGAGCTCAAGAAAAAGCAGGGTGCTATAGATCATCTACACAGATCCACCACATCCACCCTACTTAGCAACCAGGACAAAATACATCCCCAACCTTGTAAATTCTTGCGTGTGTGCTCAAACCCCAAGCACATTCAGTCCCACTGACTCCTGCAAAAGGACTCCTATGCTCCAAGTTTAGCACGTGCACAAGTTGCTTCAAGATCAGAGCAAAATAAAACCCCTATTTAGCTTCCCTTTGAAGGGGAAAAAAGAAGATTCCTCAGACCCCACTCATCCAAATGAGGGCCCTGCTTGGCTACAGCTGCTCTGCATCGGCTCTGATTCAATCTCCCAGATTGCTCCTTGTGTTTCAGCTGCAGCAATGCCTTTTTAAAGCAAGCTCCTGGAAAATGAGCCTCCCCCTTTTGCAGGAGGTGCTGGCCACGGAGATGCTTGCACAGGATGAGCCCTAAATGCCTGTGCCACAAGGTAAAGTAAATGCTTGTTGACGCTGGAAGCGCTGGCATTGTTCTGAGGTCTGCGCAGGAAGAGCGAGAGGAGGAATGCTCTCCTATTGCAGGAAGCTGTTCCAGGCTCTTATCAGACATAAAGCTTCTGATTCCTTGCGGGGGAAGTACCAAATGTTTTTGAGGGGAAGGAAAAAAAGAAGGGAAAAAATAAATCGCATGCTTGGCTCTAAAGGAAGCTGCCTTAATGGCATGAATGAAACCCAAGTCGTGCTATGTGGGAGCTTGCTGCGCTAAATAGCTTAGGTGGCTACAAGCAGGAGCGTGTTGCCCTACTGTCACCCCATAGAAACCTGGGGATGGGCAACCCAAAGGTCCTTCTCTCTGGCCAAAAGGTGTCTGCAGCCAATTCAGCCTTTCTTGTCTCCAAACACCAACTTACTATGAACCATCTCTGAATGCCGTGTCTGTGTCACCCTCCCCAGCTGCCAGGGACTATTTTGGGCTCTCCCTCCAGTTCAGATGCTGCTCCGTCAGGGGCTATTTCCCAATGTCCTTTCACGCACTGCACTCATCTGCTCTTTTGGTTAATCTGTAAAACTGATGCTTCCTTGGCAGGAATTCAGGTTCTCCATCGAGATGCTCCAAGTTTTAGTGGCAATGAGCAAATCACTGGTGTCCTTGGGAAACATAAGGACGTCGGAGCCTATGTAAATGGCCTTTATGTTTCTTCTAGAGGGTGTCTCCCAAAGGACAACTCTGACACATAGAATGGCTCTCTGGTTACATAAGTACCTGTATATATAATGGGTATATAATGGCTGTCATGGCTTACTGCACAGATATCTGAGTAAACCTCAGTTTTAAGTCTGTTCACCCCATTACCAGGCTTTGTGCTCCATTTGAGCCAAGCACTTCTGGTCTCCAGCCTGGCTCCTCCTGATTGGTTATTAGGGGATTGTGGCTCCCATCTCTTACAGTTAAAAAGCAGAAAACCCTTTGCAACAGGTTGAAAAACAACAGTATGTAGAGCATTGCCTTTCTTCTCCTTTAATAGGCTACTCTGTCAACCCTCTGCTTGTTAAATGAGAGAAAAATCTGTGGGCATGCAGTGAAGGTCAATCTTGTGGTTTTTGAAAGCATTTAATTAGGACAGTTAAGTACCGAGGTCTGCTTGGGAGGGAGCTTCTCCATTAAGCATCTGCATCCTTCTGTCTGCAGAAGCCAGCCTGCAAAAGGGGGCTGCAGGTTCCAAACCTTCAGTGGTGTTTGACCTTAGGATGAAAACTGTTGCGGATTGCCTGTCCCGTCGCTAGCTCCAAAACCCGCATGGCATGATCCTGCATGGATCTCTTTTAACAGCAGAGTCCCAGCTGGCCAGATCCTGGCCTCCTTGTGCAGGGGCTGGGGTGACCCCCTGCACCCTTAGGGACCCATCAGGGCTGCTAAAAGCCCTGTGCTGTGGCTTGTACTCCTCCTGAGGCATTTCTTGCTGAGTGCTGAGGCTCAGTGCTTAAACAAAGCTGCTTAAGATGTAGCTTTGCCCAAAGGGGGTTTGGCATTTTGATGATAGCATGTAAAATCCCTGTCTTCCCCTTCATCTCACTGGAAGAAGGGCAGATGTACTTAGCTGCTACAGGTGTTTCACTCCTTGAATGAAGCTACAATAAATGTCACATATCTGGGCTTTAATCCCTGGGCAGTGGCATCGTAAATGCTACAATCACAGGCTGCCACTTCCTTTCTAAAGGGCCACAGCATCAGCTGTTTGAAACAAGAGATCAACTCCAGTCATACAAAGCCAAACTTGGTTTTATTTCTCCATGCTTTCGCAGCACTGGAGACCCTAATTGCAGGCAATTAAAGCAGCCTTAGGAAAAGAAGGGCTGTGTTGAAATCCAAGCTGGAAAGCGTACCTCTAAATGGGTGCCAGTTGCCAGTGCTGGAGAAGTGCCCAAGGAGAAGGAGCTGGTGCTGCACAAACCCTCCACATAGAGCTGGGGCTAGAAGGACCTTCTCCTCTCCTGTGTCCTGGTTACATGAACACTTCATCTCCTGCATGCAGGCACTTGCATGAGCATGCAAATCCAGCAGGCTCTTACTGGGGCTCCTGCATGTGCGAGATGGGAGATGCTGGGAGCTGATGAGGGCAGATAGAATGGAGCAAGTCCAGGGAAAGAAAGTAATCGATGCTGGGCTTGCCTTTAGAATGTTCCCTCTCCTTTTTTGATGCTGGTGCTCTGTAAAGGTTTGCCTTTGCCAGATGGGGACTTCCATTACTTTAGAGCTGTCAGAACAACAAAAGACTTCTTTGAGTCATTTTCTATATCTGACCTTGAATTACTGGAGCAGCAATAAACATCAAGAGCAATGAGAACACAGAGTGAAGCTGTAATTTTGACATTATAACTTGCTGCTCAAGTGTCAAATAAGCCTTGCTGAAAACACGAATAAGGATCTGACCCCGCTGCAGGATGAAAACAAGCACAAAAGCATGCTGCCTGGGACTTCCACAGCCTAGCAGCCAGACGATGCTCTGAGGCCATTTGGCACTGATAAGCATTGTTTCACTGAGTGCAATTACATATTTCTGTTTAGAAGAAAGATTCTCCATCAAAAGCAGCTCCCAAGCCTCTGCTGATTCAGCCTTCATTAGAGGCCTCTTACTGTGGACACAGTGAAGTGGTGACTCCTGTGCTTATTTTCTGTTGCTGCCTTATCTTTGGCATCTCATCTGCAACTTCTGCTGGGTTTATTTTTTCTCCACTGGTTTCATCTGAGTGCAAGAGAAGTGGATGCTGTTTGGGCTTCAGTTCTTGCAATGGTTTTTGATCTGCCTGGGTGCAGGATAGGAGAATCTAGCCCCGATTACAAAACTGCAAGCTAAGTAGGCTAACAAAACAGCAACTGCAAGAAACTGGATCAGCTTTGCTTTGCTCACTGAGGTTTTCCTGCTCAAACGGGGGGGGGGGGAACATGCTTTCTCTTTGCAGTCTTGCTTACAAATCTGAAATTCTATACAAACAAGCCACAGCCATTGCTTCTACAGGAACTTCAGGGGACGGTAGCCTGAGTAGTTCCAACCCCAAAGTACCCTCCTGATGTAGACAGATGCTGCTTTTACCATGCCCATACAAATCCAGGCCCCTACTTGATGATGGGATGCAAATCCAGAGCGATGGTCAGCCTCATCTTTGCTAGCACCAGCAGACCAAGATGCACAAGTGGCTGTTTGGAGCTTCCATAAAGGATGTTCAGCATCTGCCTGCAGCATCTCCAATGTAAAGATGATTCAGAAGTGCTTTAGCACCCCAGAGACTTTCATGGTGGGCTGAACCCTCTAAAACGTTAGCTGGGTATTTGGAATTTCTAGCTTAAAAGGAAGGATAGCTTCAATTTTGGCTTTGAGGCAAAAGCAAGCCCTACAATTGAGAGTCTCAGGCTTCCCCTCTCCAAACTTCTTTCCCCTGAGCAGAAGACACTTTTGCATTGGCACTTGCCACCATGCAGAATACAGTGGATCTGAAGACAAAGGCAAACTTTTTGCACAATGAGTACATCTGGAAATTGCACTGAACAGCCTTCACTGCTTTGCTACCACAAACCATAATATCTAACGTGGCACCGCTTCAGGGTCCTAGATCTGCTTTCCTGCTAACGTTGCTCTAGCTGATAATGCTCATCTCTTCAACTCTTCCCAGACAGGCCTGAAGGAAGGGAGCAAAGTAACTTCACAGGTAATGAAGCATTTAATTATTTATTAATTATAGCTCTGTCCAGGTCCAAAATGAACAGAACAGTCCCGCAATTTACCTGGCCACTGGAGACTGACTCAACACTATATAATGATGCTGCTGGTGACCATGCTGCCAACTCATACAATCCACCCATCATCACCCAGAATTACATGGCCACAGTCAAGGACATGCAGGTGCTCTAGGTTTTACCTCTTTGCCTTACTCAGAACCACTTGTGCCACTCACTGCCATTAGGAAGCTGTGACCTGGGAGATGCAGAGCTTTGTCTTTGGAGCAGGAGGAGACCTGCTATGGGCAGGCTAAGCATTAGAAATGCAAGTTCATGGGGTGAAAGCAAGGACCCCATGGGAAAAGGCTGGGAATCATGACTGTGCACAAAGATCAGGGCAGACCCTGCGGTCCTCCAAGTGCATCACAAGGGAAGGCTGCAAGTGTCTTCCCACTCCTGTGCTATTAAAGCTCCCCTCTTTTCCTTCTGCTTCCAACTTAAAAAAGGGATCTGAGCTTTAGTCAGATGTGTTTTTAAATCCTTTTCCAAGAGGCTTCTATAGGTGCTGTTATGGCTCTTTTCAGCAAGAGAAAATGGACAAGTGACATCAAATGCATGTATTATTTTGGGGGAAAAAAGGCAACTTTTTAGTCATCTTGCATACCTGCAACCACAGAACACAGGATTTGCAAATCCACCATGTGACTTTGAAGGTAATTGTGTTCCATTAATGCCAATACTCTTGGAGGAATGAAGTGTCTCATCTCTAAATTACTTCTGTGGTTTTAATTGAGTATCATTTGCTTCACCTTAGCAGCTTGTGTATGTGTCAGAGGAGGGAATTCACCCCAAAGGAAGTTCCATTTTTTTGGGTGTCTAAAGTAGCAAATAAGCAACACTCGGTGTGGCAATGAGAAACCTACACTTTTCTTCAGCTGGGAAGAGAAAACAGCTCTTTGCTCCTTTCCTCCTGCAACTTACTGCTTTTATTGCTATAATTACTTCTATGGTTTGAGCTTTCAATGCCTGTGTCTTCCCGTCCATGTCAGGACACAAGAACATGGCACCCTGCAAATGCACCCTGGTTTTTGCACCCCCACTGTCTGGGGTGGAAGGGGTGAGACCTGCAAGCAAATGCCTCCTTAGTGCAATGCAGAGGGAGTAAAGGCATCAGCTAGAGGGGCTTGATGGGGTGTTTTGGTCCCTGCTGTGCAGAGCAGTGATTTGGTTTATATAAGACAGCGTTTCTAACACTTTCTACCCCAACCACTTGGTTGATTAACTCATGGTTAATTCCTCCAGCATGGCATTACATGAGATCTTAAAACCTCTTTATAATCGCTTGCCCCCTCTTAATCCGAAGCAGGTACACAGGCACTTCCACCATGGAAGTGATAAAGGAAAGCAGGGTGAAAAGGTAATTCAACGAGATAAACCTAAAACGTTAAAAGTAAATATGCAACTCGGACTGAAATTGGCTGTTTGCTGCTAGACCAGGCTTTGCTAGGCTTGCACCTCACTGGCCATGCCACAGCTTTGCTAACCCTGCTCTGGCAGAGCCTGGCCCGTGCCAAGTGCCTGTGTCATGGGAGTGAGTTAATAGTGAGAAGCCGAGGTGGCGCTGACAAGGCAAACTGCTCATTGCACAACCAACTGAGCCTCGCGCTGCTCATGGGTTAATTTTATACCAGCAAAGACTTGCCACCTACCAAGGATTTAAACAAAAATAACCCCCACTACCATTTAGGCTTTACACTGATTCCACTGAGGCTTCTAGCTGGAAAAAAAAAAGCATTTCACATAAAATGTAATATTTAGAATAGGCACAGGGCCTTTGGTCAAAGTCCATAGGGTACATGTTCAGCCAGCACCACGTGGGACGTGGTTCTCATAATCTCAGTGTCCCTTCCTCAGCTAGAGCACAAAAAACTGTGTTGAAACAGCAAAGTGTAAGATATTAGGAATGAGATCGATGGACAGCGATATTAAATTAAATGTAGCTCACTTCCATGCACTGTTTATGAATTAGTGGTCTAATGGGAAATGCTTCCCCCTTCCCTTATTTTAGTGGAGAAATCTGCATATATGCAGGTTGCTTCGCTGATGCAAGTAAATAACTCCCCCATTACAATGAATTTGGAAGACTCTTGAATACATCTGCTGTCATGAGAGTTCAGATTTATAGCCTCAGACTCTGTTTAACTTGTAATTAATATGGACTTCCGCATTTCTTTTTCCTCTTCCAGAATAATATCCTACTAGTCATGACAGCAAAAAAGTGCCCTATTTGGGCAACGATTCAATTTCTTCTGAGCTCCCATCGACATCAAGTCCCACTTGTCCAGAGCAGGGACTTGATGGAACAAACTGCAGGGACCTGCTGGGGAAATCTTATTTGCTGTGGATTGCTCCATCCAACTAAAAATACCATTCTGCAACTTCAGAGAGGGGATAAAGGTAGAAATGAGTGAAATGCAGGGATTTGGACCTGCTTGGTGTCTTTCTGACTTGATCTCTGTTTTGTCTTACCGAGTGCATCAGGACATCAGGGTGCAGGGAACATGCCTACATCCTGCAAGCACGATGCTGGAGGCATCTGCTATGGAAAGGGCCAGGATGAAGCTGTTGCTTCCGAACCCCAGGGACTGTTTTATCTCCTGCAGCCCGCGCTATGCTTGCGTGCAAAGCACATCACCTCCACTTCCCGCATGGCACAGGTAGGGTCCAAGGAGCAGTTCTGCCCTCTAACCTAGGTGAGATTCCTTGCAGGGAGCAAGTGTTATCAGAGAATAACCATCCTGGTTGCATGTTCCCCTGACAAGCAGCATTAGGAAAAAAAGCATTAATCTCTGGCAAATCCTGAGCACAACTTTGGAAAGGATTCAAAGCAGGGAGAGGGCTCCGCAGCCCAGCAGCTGGCTAGAGCTCCACACAGTATTTTAGAAAGCTGACGAGGAACCTCCTGTGCAACACATGAAAGCTGATCCTGAAATGCAGATTATGCCTCCCTTAATTCATCCTGAAGAGCGATACCTCTGCTGCAAACCCCTTCCAGAGCGAAACCTCCGCCTGAACAGCTGAACTTGGAAAAGTTATCCGTGCAAGGAATTCAGACTTAGACACCCGTATTGCACAGCGCGGGATGGACGGGAAACGGATTCAAGAATGATGCCATTCATTGAGATCATGTTTTGTGGGTTGGCTACTTGCATTTTCCCCATTTTCCTGGTATGAAGAAGGATGGACAAAGCGAGTGCATGGGATAAGCAGCACCCCAGCAGGGTGGGCTGCACGGCCACCAGCTCAGCTCCCTGCCACCACCGGCTCCATGCGCTGCAGCCATCCCAGCCCGAGGATTTTGGGGACCCCTAGGAAGAAGCTGCTCCCCTGCCCCACTACGGGTCTTGCAGGGACCCTCCCTCAAGCAGCAGCGGGCATCGCTCAGTTCAACTCTGCATTATCAAACTTCTCTGGCTCTTTCTATTGGAAACTTTTAACAATTCTCTGCTTGGCTGGAACGGATGACTGCAGCAAACCCAAATTAGGAATAAATTATACAACAACTTTACATTTTTCTTACAAAGGAAAACTGTGTGGCAAGAGCTGTGAAAGCACCTCCTTCCCATGGCCTCCCTGCGAGGCTTGTGGAGGAAGGCCACGGGCTCCACAGATGGCTTGGGATTTAAAAACAAAACAGCAAGAAGCAGCCCCGGTCCCAGTTTGGGATCTGCTCTGCTATGCACTGGCTCGCACCCCCCCTGCTCCCCAATATGCATGAGGGCTGCAGAATGCAAGAGGCAAGCTGCAACAGCAAATCCACCCATTTAAAAGAAGCTCCAAAAGCTGCATCTGCTGACATATGGGCATCTATTTCCACAATGAATGGCCGGAGCAACTCCTCCTTAAAAACATCTCCAGCCGGCTCTTGCAGGGACTATTGCATTCCCACTGCATTTTTGCAATATTAAACTCCCCACCTCCTCCCTCCCACCAACCATCACCCCTTCCTTGCAGGACACAAGGCAGAATCACGCCGGATCAGTTCACAAGCAAAGCTCAAAGCTTGCCCACCACGCTGGCAAAAGAAAGCCATCAATGCAAGAAGAAGAAGAATAAATCACTGCCGTCCCCTCCCCAAACGCTAAATAAAGCAGCTCTCAGCGATCTGGTGTTACAAACCTCCGACCAAAAGTTACCAAATATTGAAGGGGGAGGAAGGGGGGGGGGGGGGGATCGGTGGAAAATGATCTCAGTCCTGGCACAAGAACAATACTTTCCCATGGAAACATAGAGGTATATATTTAATTCCTTGCTCACTCGCACTCAAGTTTCACCTTTCATCTCCTCCCAGGACTTGTTTCAAAGTTTCATCTCAATGAAACGAGCCCGCAATCCGCACGCACGGCCGCAACCCCGATTTACTCCTCGACACCCTTTTATCTCCTTGCTGACCGGTGCAGGAGGTGGGGGACACGCACACACACACACTCGGTGATCCCGGCTGAAGAATTCCACTAACGCCAAAGCGCAGCTGAACGGCGAACGCAGCCTGCAGGAACTGTGCCTGGGTGGATGTGTGTGTATGTGTGTGTGTGTGTGTGTGAGTGCGTGTGCGCACCCGCGCCCAACAGGAAATGCAACGGGGGGAGCCACGGAGAAGCTTCAAACTTCAAATTGCAATTGCATCCCGAGCACAAAACGCATCCATGCATGCGTGCACCTCGCGAATGCATGCACGGCCGTCTGCAGAGCTGCAAGGAAGAGAAGCAGGAGCCTTACCTCTGGGCTGAGACATGTTTTTTCCCCCCCTTGTGCTTTGCAGGGGGCGGGGGGGGATAGATGGGCAGCACAAAAGACTTTGCCTCGCCCCTCCTCTGGAGCTAGTTTTGCACACAAAGATGCAAACTGCACCGCGCTCGCTCTTCGTGCACCTGGAGTTCTCCTGCCTCGCTGCTGCAGCGCGCCCTGCAGCGGGGGTGCGCAAAGGGGGGGGTGCACGTCGGGGGGGCTGCGCTGCGCCTGCACGCCGTGCAGCAGAGGCCCGCGGGGGGCTCGCTTCCCCCCCCCCGGCGCGGTGTGGGGCAGCCTCCGCGGCACCTACATGATGGGCCGGGGCTGGCGGCTCGAACCTCCAAACTTGGAGCGGGGGGGGGGTGAGGGGGGGGGAGGTTTGCGCACAGCGCAGGCGCCGTGCCCACGGCTGCCGCGCTGCAGACTGGGGCTTGGAGTCTCTGCCCCCCCCCCCCGGCGCTGCGCGGTGCTTCCTGCAGGGGGCGGCGCGGGGCTGCGCGCCCGCGGAGCCTGCGCGGGGACTGGCGCGAAGTCGCGCGGGAGCGGAGCGGGGCCGGGGTGGCTGCGAGGTGGGGACGCGGAAGGGGCTGCGGGCGTGAGGGCGCTGCTGCCTCCCGGCGCTTCCCTGCCTCCTTCCCGGCCTCTTTTCCTCCTTCCTCCCCGTTACGCTGCCTCTCCGCGGCCCTGCCTCCCTTCCTGTGCCCCAGCCTGTCTGCTCTGCCTGCCTTCCTTTCTGCCTCCCTCCCTTCTGCCTGCGCGCTGTGCAGTGCGCTCCAGGCACCGTGCAGGCAGCGGGTGCAGTGGCTGCCGCCTGCTCTCCTCCTGTCCCACGCCTGGGGGAAGGTGGCATCCTCCCAGTGCAAATGCAGCCCTTGGGAAGCAGGGAGAGGCTCTGGGGCTGGGGCCGTGGCTGGAAGTGGGTATGATGGGATGGTGCATCCCGGGCTGTGCAGGAAGCATTGCTCCGTCTCTCCCGCCATGCGGTTGGGTACCACTGGTGCTGCCGATGTTGGGTGCACACCAAGCTTCCACCGGCGGCCCTGCGCTGGGCGTGGGTAGCCCATCATGGCTCCATTCTGTCCCCATTGGCTTTAATTCCAAGGATCTGTTGGAAAGGGGCATCTTGCCTTTGTGCTAATGTGACACCCAGGGCATCACACGTTCTGCATAGCGCAGTGGTGCCTGGGCTTAACCAATGCCCCTGGTAACCTTGTATAATAAAAGATATTTTTAGTCCTTTTATATCCTTTTCCCCTCACAGGCAGCTGAGATAAAGTGAGTTTGCCCAAGTCTGTTTCCTGAGGTGGTCACCTCGGCCCCTGTGGCATCACGGAGGTTTCCCATGGGAAGAGGTGATGCAGCGACATCCCCCAGGGATAGGGATGCTGCCTGGATCAGGAGTGCAGCTGTACCTGGGGTGTAGTAGTTGAGTACCCACTTCCATACATAGGAGCTCCCCCTCGGGAAAAGCCCCTAAGGAAAGGCAGGCCTTCCTAAAGCTGTGCTTTATGTTAAATACGTATTTTGTTACAGCAACATTGGAAGAACTTACACGGGAAAATGAAAAACCCAAAATCAGAGTGCTAAGAAACATGTGGTGTGGCTGATTTTCACACTCCTCTGTGTCCCTGCCAGCCCCGTGGGCTCAGCTCACGCTAGGCTGGTGTTGGGCAGGATTTTGCCCCTTTTATCTGCAAGGACTCAAGTCTGGAGGAGGCTGTACCCCTCCATTAGGGATCTGTTTGTGTTTGGTGTGAGGGAAGTACGCTGCCGCATGTGGTCCTTCCTGCCAAGCTGCAGCTAGATCAAATCCTTACAGCCAAGCGATAAATCCCCCAAATGAAAGGTTTACGATGGAAATGCTGACAACCCCTTCACTAACTCCTTACAAATAGCAGCGTTCAAACTCAGTAGCTATAAGCTAAATGAGCAGCGGTACCAGCAGCCTTCGAGGAGCACTGTAGTGAGCAAGGAGGCCTTGTGTGGGTAAAGACTGTGGCTTTTAATGCTTCTAACAGACTTCTGCTGGTGTGCCCTCTATGCAGGTACAGAGCGAGGGATGCTCCTTCGGTTTTTCATTGGGTGAGAACAAAAGCTTGGTTGTTTTAAGGCATTTTTTTCTATAGAGGATGGAGTCATAGATGCAGGGCAATGTATAGGAATCAGAGAGATGCCTTGTATGAGCTTGTGTCTCCCAGTGCATGGAAGTTAATTCTCTAGGAACATCACTTTAATCATCTGGTGTCAATAAGTAGTGCCACGCCGTGTGCATCCCTGTGCAGTCATTTTACAGGAAGTAAATTACCATGTTATGCATGGCTGTGAAATAGAGGAGTCCTGCAAAGTGCTTGAGGAAGCATCTTAAAGGAAGGAGTTACTCCTAGGAGGAATCCAAAGGGCTGAGCAAAGAGATCTGCTTTCTATATCTGGGTCTGGTCATACATTTACCATTAACACTGACCCTATGTAGAACTGGAATCGTATACGTGGTACGGTTTGTTTCTTCCTCTTCCCAGCTTGCTCCCTCATTGCTAAGAGACTATTCTGCTGCAGAGCAATTGGACAAACGTGCTGCGGTTTCAGGGCACTGCTGCAAAAACATCTCCTCTCCGTGTTTGTAAACAGGGGGTTTGCACCAAAATGTGCCTTTGTGTTAGACACGGCTCCGTTTCCAGCGCGCGCTTTGATTGCGGCGCTTGGAAGGCGACCCGTGCGTGTCCCGTGGTGGGTTTCTCCAGTAAAAATACAATTAGAGGCTTGGGTTTCAGTGTTTGCAAGAAGAGACAATCAACAGGCTGGAAATTAATCCCAGAGCTCTGCCCACAAACAGCAGCGAGCCCGAGGGGTGCAGCTTCTCCAAGGCTTCGCTCTTGCAAGGCCACTGTCAGAGGTTCTTTGTGTCTTACACCTCAGTGTTTTCCCCTGGTTCATATCCCTTCACTAAGAATTGTTTGGAGAATCCAGGTGCTGATGATGTGTGGTTTGTAAATGTGTTTTATATTTGTATATGTTTTAGTCATAGATGGTGCGAAATAGAAGCAAAACTGGCGTCCAAAACACCTCTGCTACCTCCTTCTACATCCTTGAACAGTAAGACCAGGTTTTGGGGCTCAAATCTTGGTTTTCCCAGTGTGGCAGATGGTGGGAAAGTGCTGTATCTATTGCTCTGATGCTCTTGTGTATTTTGGAAGACAGCCCTGTGCAGGGATAGAGAGGAGTCACAGGGCTCAGGCAGGAGGATCTCTCAAAACCAATATGCTTTGCAAATGGAGAAATCAAGCAGGGCCGACTTGCATGGGGCAGGAGGTGGGACTCTGCAGGACCTCTGCAGAAGAAGCCAGTGGCTATTTCGGTTTCCTTCCATTCCAGTTCCTATTTTTGTTGGATTATGCTGCTTCCAGCCATCGCCTCCCATCATGGGGATGGGAGCTGCGGAGAAGGAAGGGTATTGTGGGGCAAGTGTAGAGAGGCTTCAGCTTGGTCTCTCCTGTGAAAGAGTGTAATGATGGGGTTTAGATACAACAGGCAGGACAATGGTATTTGCAAGTGTGAAACTTCCCATCATTTTTTAGCTGGGGCAGTGGTCAGCCCCCCATAGAGAAGCAGAAGAGAGTGGGGAATGCCAGCCATTTCCCAGTGCTCCCAAGGTGCTGTGGCCTCACAGTACCAAGCTGGAAATGGAAAATAGCAGGAATAAGCACACTAAATGCTGGCAGAGAAGGCAGCGAGCTCTTGGCTACGGAAGGTGAAGGAACTGCAGGAAGTTCTCCAAGACAAGAGGGACCAGCTGGAAAAAGGGATGCCCCTGAGGGGATATGTGGGGAAGGAGCTTGAAGAAAAGCCAAAGCAAACAGCGGGTGCAGATGCTGGGGAGGAGAATGAGGCTTGACAGGAGAGGAGGTGAGAAACAATGAGTCGTCCCGAGCATGAGCCGCTTATGGGAGCAGAGACCATCTGCTCCTCACCAGCCTGAATGGTGCCGAGCAATATCCTGCATTCCTTTGTTCCCGGGGTTAAAGGGAATTCCAGGCTGCCGGCGCTTAAAGCCAAACACAGTCCCTGGGAGTTCAGCCACCTCTTACCTTTTGTCTGAGTTTCCTCCATCTCCTTCTCCTCCAGCATCTCCTCTCGCAGCCGTTTACTCATAGCACATTCATCCACCTTGGATAAATAGGACATTTATCCGCCTTGGATCGTGGATGGGTGAAAAGCCGAGGAGGATGCTGCAGATCACTGAAGCTACCCAAACTGTGCTGCCCTGCTGCACACAGTGGCACTGTTGGGAAAGTCTGTCTTTGTGGCTTTAAACAGAGAGCTGAGCAATTCAGAGGGGATAATGTGACCCAAGAAGCACATAGAGCTCATAAAAGGGGCAGAAGCCAGTAAATGAGAACAACTTTCGACTTAGTGACCTAAGTAATATCCTTTGGTATGGAAGATGGCAATTCCTGCAAGTCACCTGCCCTGCATCCCTCACTCCCTACCTTACACAGGCATTTAGGTTTGGGTCTTTTTCATCTTTGAGGCACTGTTCTGTACTTTGCACTTTGTTTCTTGCTGGTTTTCGCTGAGTCCTTTGTGCCTCTAAGTTCTTTTTGCAGCAAAATGAGTTGCAGGCTCCTGCACAGATGCTTCCTTTGGGAGCACAGCAACAGCAGCATCCTGGCTCCTCACTGCCCGTAATCTCTCTGGGGTAGAGCTCTATCCCTCGCTGTGTACAACCACCACCACATGAGTGTTTTTTCTTGAGGTGGTTTATTAAACCTTTATGATGTTTATGTAGCTCTCAGGGTAATGCGATCTGGGGTTAATTACTGGAGCTGCTTTTCTCTGTGAATCCATCTGAAAAGCCTGCGGTAGTCTTTTGTGCTCCTGTTTAATATGGTACAAATTTGGATGCCTCGGTGTAAACACCGGCATCGGGAGGGCTCAGATGCCATAAAGGTGGCCAGGAGCCCTGTGTTGCTTTGCAGGGGGTTTGCCTTTGCACAGCAAAAGCTCTGCCTTGAATATGGATGCACAGAGTGTCCCAACCGTCCCGGGGGTTGGAGGAAGATGTGGACCTGCTCAAGTGAGTCCAGATGGGGCCATGAAGATGCTGCGAGGGTTGGAGCATCTCTGCTGTGGGGTCAGGCTGAGAGAGCTGGGCTGGTTCAGCCTGGAGAAGGCTCCTTAAGGGGAGACCTTAGAGCAGCTCCAGTGCCTAAAGGGGCTACAGGAAAGCTGGAGAGGGGCTTTGGACAAGGGCCTGTAAGGACAGGCCAAGGGGAATGGCTTTAACCTGCCAGAGGGGAGACTGACCTGAGCTCTTAGACAGAAGCTCTTCCCTGTGAGGGTGCTGAGG